CTACAATCCTTTGAAGAGCAATCTCCTCTGGGATAGAACAGAAGATAAACCAGCATCTGATGAACAACCATTTAACAGATTTTCAGACACAAAAGAGTCTGGTCCGGTGCTAAAATGTCCTTGAGTATTCAGACTAGGAGTTTCCATACTTTCATTTTGACCCAAAACTTCTGTATCACTGCCACTCTCTGCCCTTGCCTTGCTTCTTAATTTTCTGCTCCGTATTGGAAGTTTAACAGCTGAATTACTTAAAGATGATGTTTCTTGTTTTCTTTTATCTTGCTTATCTGGTAAAGAATTCTCTTCTGTATGCATAGAAGCATCTTCTATAGCAATTGGAATTAAAGTATCTTCAGGGTTTTGAATAGCAGCAGCTTGAGAAAGTTGATTGTTGTCATCCAAATTATCAAGGGATTCGCCAACTGGCTTCTTTCTCGGTCTTCCTCTTGGCCTCTTAGGTTGTTCTGGTTTGCCCTTTGTGGCATCATTGTCAAGATATTCCTCTATTGATTTCTTCCTAGGCCGTCCTCTTGGCCTCTTTAATTGAGTTGATTCCCCTTCTGCAGATTCATTCTTTTTGGATCTCTGTTTTAGATTTTTCTTCGGCGGAAGCACCTCAGCTTCATTACTGCTGACATTTACAATAGACCATATTTGAACAATGCCCCTTCCTATTTGTGGAACACCCATCTTGTGATAGTAAGAGTCAGGTGGATGTGCAGCAACCGCAACAAACTGGAGAAGTAGGGGAAGAGGAAGGCAATAACATCAAAGTAAAGCATTATTTATGCGTGTGCAGATGCAATGATTGAACAATTATAAAGTACATACTCATGCACAAAACTGGAAAAGAAACATATAAATCAATAAGTAAAGAACAAACAGGCTTTTCTGACATGTGGTCAAATAACAGTAACGATACAAATGCAATGAAACAATTGAAACTACCTCACATCTCATATGATCATCAGGTAATTCATGAACTCTAGGGCACCAATCCAATGCCCAAACAGATCCTCCAACATACATCACAAAGTCTTTGCTGCAACAAGAACCACTAAAGTGTGTGAAAATACCCAGCTTGATTAGGTGTACAGTTTGCAAAAACTAAATTTGGATAATGCATGATGAATAGATCCCATTAAGCTGTAACATCAAGGATAATCATGAAAATCATTTCCACCAATTCAAATATTATTTCGAACAATACAGTTTAATAATACATCATTAGCCAATCAAGGCACAATCTGGTCTTCTTATACAAGTGCCCAAGACAAAACCTGAATTCTCCCATCTCAACCCAAAAAAATCTTGCACCAGGCTGGCCGAGGCCCATAACAGTTTAGTCATGCTAGATTCTGATTATTACCTGGATTCTAGAGATGAAGCATTCCCAGATGGACTCTTACTCTGCACGTAGAAGCAAAAGAAGAAACACTTGAAAAAAAATAATCTGGAAATTCATGTAATTACGGAATGGCAAAAAGTATAAAGGGGATAACCACTGTAAGCAAAAACAAGAATTCTTTTAGGTGCAAAGGTAACATCGATAACAATGTACATTAACAAAGGGAACATCGATAACAGTGTACATTAACAACAGTTGCGGAAGAAAATTGAGGTAAGAGAACGTCATTGACAACTTCCTTGTCGACTGAGCTGCTTCCCACTTCACAAGCAAAACTAACATTTCTTGGTTTGTAAGTATAATGCTTCCATTCTCTGAAACATGTAAAATTCTGAATCATTAAATATGACTGTAAGCCTCTAAAATATGCATAACAATGGCTAATAACTAAAACAGTAGATATATGGCTGGAACTAGCAATGGCATGAAAAACCTTGAGCTTCTAAGTATATATCCATAGGCTCTTAGCACTAAACCAAGTGAGGTGTTTCATAGAAAAGACTGAATTCTGGCTGCTACTTTTTCTTATCAATTTGTGCGACAGCTCTTCTTCTACATTTTTGTAGTATTAGTACTTTACTGCCCTTTTTTAGGATACATGAAATTTGCATATGTCCAATAAAATAGTACTTCCTGAAAGTGCTTCATAGTCAAACTCAGTTTTCCACGAGCATTAGCAAATAATCCGTTCATTAGATTATAGATTATGATGAACTAAAAAACACAGAGTCGAGATCATGTGGAACGCAAAACCTATCTTCAACCATTCAAGTTTTTAAAAGGTTCCTTCAAGGACATAATTTACAGAGACATGTATTCTAGAGATACAAGCGAGCATTATTCACCTCAAGAAAGTTATTGAGGAAGATAACCGCTGGATTTCACTTTCATCAAGATGATCAAAGTCCCCTTCTCCACACAGCTTAGAAATTTTGTCCATCACATTTAAATGATTCTCCACCGAATAATCGAAGGTCGAAACATTAACCCTAGCATCGTTGCTTCTTAACGATTCTTCTTGCATCTCTATCTCTGTTCTACCAACAGAACAATATAAAAGAAGAACCGCGAGCAGACAGTAGGTCAGTTACAAGCTCACTGGTTTGCAGAGTGAGGGTGGCCTGGTTTATGTCCGGTATTGTTGCCGGTTTTGCACTGAAATAATGGCGAAGCCGGCGGGTACAGATATCCAAGCCGGGCTAGGATTTGCGAACGGAATTGAGGGGGTACTGATTCGGTCTGGTCTCGTTTTGATTTTT